TTGTAATATATTATCAAATATTCATGAATTAATTACATTTCAAGTTTTAAGGGTAGTGTCCAGCTATCAAGAAATGTAAAAACTTCATATAAAAAACGCTTAAGAAATGGTCAAACAAATTTCTTGCAGTAAATTCTCTTGTGCCAGTATGCAGCTCTAAAGAAATCTAGTACTAAAGTTTAATAAATTTTTTCAATAATATGCGAGTATGGCAACGCTAGTTTTGCTAAGAAACATGAAATTAACAATTGTTTCGTGAAAGGACATCAAAGTAATCTTTAAATTCATCCTAAATTAATTAAAATCATTATTATGACATATAGTTCATTTTGAAATATTGTATTAAACTTACCAATCATCAACCACTTTCCTTAAATCGCAATGAAAATATTTATATTCTTACAAACATAAGTATATTTTCTTTGTTTATTTTCTCTTTCTCATCTAATGTGCACCATTCACAATACGCATTGTCAAAATTTATTGAAGCTCAAGAAATAAGGAAGAATCTCCTGAGCATTTACTTGGAAGCTGGAAACAGACCTATGCGGGGCATATCGACAGGAAAAAATTTATGGCATATTAAGTGTCAAATCTGTTGCTATTGCCCCTGCCAAATCTGTATGTGGACATTTGTTATCATAACACAATCATTTGCGCAAAGCCGTAGAGTAGGTAGGTTGATGTAGCGCATGCTTTGAGCTCTTGAAAAATTTATTTCATATTGCGAAACGCCGTCGGGAAAGTAGCTAATGTAGCGCATGTTTTGAGCTCTTGGACTGTTTAAATCTTTTATGTGGAAAATTTTTCTGTGAAAAATAAGAAGTCACATTTCTGGACTACTACATAATAATTGCGGCATAAATTTTATACACCAATTACATATATTTCTAAAGTTTAAGGTATTGTAATAAACAAGATAATTACGCTGTTCACGGTAAAGTGGTCATCGGATTATGTGCTTATTAAATTAAAAATAACCTCTAGGCTCCGTGAACATCCTACCAATTTAGGTACTACTTACAAAATGCCTAAACAAAGTTTAAAAAGCAACATAGTTGAATTTAAAATAAGTTCTGCTATTCAGGAAATGGACTTTATTGCAGGTATGTGCTTATTAAATAATTCCAATTTTAAGGGTTCAAAAAATTCTTTGTATAAAATTTGCAGACATCTTGCGCCCTGAACAATGTCACAATGCAATTGTAAACAAAAAAACAGCTGTTAACAGCACAATTTCTAATAAGAAAATATAAATGGAAATGCCATTCGCATAGTTTTATTTATTTTTGTGCTGCCATTTAGTAAAATTCCAGCGACTTTCTAACACTGGTAATAAGCAAACAACCACATAATCTGTAAACAAGGGCCTAGGTTGGTCAAAGTTGGTTATTTTGTCATACCGCAATTTGTTGTTGTTTACTTAATCACATAACCCGATAACCACCTTATCGTGAACAGCCTAAATTTAAAAATGGTTTATACCTGCAAGACTCGCTACCAGGCAAAAGCCCCTTATGCTATATAAGAATTGATTACTGTTGGTTAGTCTCGCTAAAGCTAGAGTGCAACTGGACCGCTTTGACTAATTTTGTTATTAAATTATTTGTGGAAATCCAGATAATATTTAAAAGGTGAATTAATACGAAAATGTTCGCAACATTTTTTCTTTTGATATGTCCTTCGACGTTCCAAAATTTTATTGAAAGAATAGTTTCCTAGAATTTTTCCATCTTTCTAATAACATGTCTATTCCCAGGAGGTGAATAACAAATAACTTAGCTAACTTCAGTTTTTCCGCCGTGATAGTGACATTTCAAGTTTTGTGTTGATCCTTTGTGATCGTGACCCTTTAACGCAAAGTGCAACAATCTCTTTGATTAATTAGAATTTGCGATGCCGATAGTTAGGTCGTCGCAGTCGATCAAATGTGCGAAGAGCTACCTCACATGCTAGTTGCACTAATAACAAGAGAGAGACAGATCAAAAAAGATTACGTTGTACTGAAGGCAAAGTAAGTTTAATAAACTACATAGTTACCTCTACCAGATCGGCCTTTTAGTTTCTATGATTGGGCATGGTTCTAAGCACTTCTTGGCCAACAGTCAGAAATATAAAAGCTGTTTTCAGATAACGACCATAAATTAATCTCAGTCCCAATTTCGTTTGCTTTGAATTTAAAATATCAAAATTTTACTTTCCATTTGGCACAGCAAATGTATGTGTGTAAAATTTTTTTACACTGTAGGAAATTTTTGGGGAAACTTTAGTATACCATCCTACGATTTCGGGGTTAAAAGTAGTATGGTTGCATTTTAAGTTGAAAATTTTGCAAATTTCTAGTAATTATTTATTTCATATTATGCAATTTTAATGCACTTACACTGCCCTCCATTGTTTCTACATATTCTATTTCACTAATTATTTAGTTATTTGCTTAAAATAAGCATTTTGTATTTTACACAACTTTCATTCCATGCACAATAACAAAGTATTCCTTGTTGACAGATAATATGTGTTGCCATAATTACACATTTATCAAACGAACAAAAATTAATATAAAAACTCAAACGCAAGAAACAAATACCATCTGAAATAAATTTTCCATTATAATAAAAAAAGTTTTAAGGCTTATATGTACGTTTAATTGCATCTAATAATTTAACAAAAGGATCATGATGATTAATTGCAATATTTTTTCTCCAAATATATTTAAAAATTAAATTGGAAAAATCTTCACAATTATTATAATTGTCCTTAATAAAAAAAAAACGTTTAATTACGCGCCACTGGGACTCAATGCTTTGAGTGTGGGTCTCGTCCTCGGCGACGAACGGATTATCGGGGTCACTGTGATTAACCCTTCGGTGCTCATACCCGTGACTGGACAGACAGTCGTATGCCTTCCAGCAATCAGTACATATAATACTGCCTTTTGCCTCGTGCTCCTCTATCAAAGGTATGAGCACCTCAGCAGACCTAACATTGCCGGGACATGCCTCCAGCCTAAGGTCATCACTCCCATCCTCAACCAATCCAAGAACCCAAGGGGCCCTCGACTCTCCGCCCTAAAATAAAAAAATATATATTAATTACATAAAAAAAGTATATTTTTATTATGGTCAGCCTGGTATAATACTACGGCTTCACGGCAGTAATTATCCCAGTCACATATATTAGCGTTAGATAAAACTGGTTCCCTGATAAAACTGTTTTTCCTGATGAGATGCGGAAGTGGAATTTTCACATTATCGAACCAAGTATCGCTCGACCTTGCCAACGCAGTTCGGTTCCGACAACCACCTTTACGGCACCGGAATACCCCAACAGTGCTACTTTTATTTAATGACAGCGTCATTGGCCCTTTATGAGTACGGCAAATTTTAGATTTTATAATCAAACCTTGTTCTTCGGCGAACTAAATAAATTTTTCTTTAGAATCAAATGTTTGGATTATTTTTAAAATATTTCACATTGATTTCACTTCCGATGCTTTGCGCACATTGGTTCGCTTTGTGAAACCTCGACTGGTTGACGCTCCGACACAATCTATATAAATACCTTAAGTTATATTTTTATCAATCTAAAATTTATATAATTTACCTGATGAATTTACACTTATTTTTTTTTTTTAC